CTCTGGCCGGTCGACCGGACCAAGTCTGGCGGTCGACCGGATCGCGATTTCTGGGTTTCCTGTTTCGTTTTGGATTCTGTTTTGACAGGGGTTCCTGATTCTTTTGGGCTTGTTTATTTACAAGATTGCCATCCATGTTTGCACATATATAAATAGGATTGTTTTAGGGTTCTAAACAATCAGACCTTAGAGGAAAAGAAATTCTAATCAAGAGAGATTAGGGTTTAGAGAGGATTGAGAGGTTGTTCTCGATTCTAGTGAGATTGTGAGGGAGAGATTGTAATCTTTTGTTCTTCATAATCTAGAGAAGGTATTTTCCTTCGCCTTATACTGAATTGTTCTTGTGTTTTGGTCATCCTCTTCTCAACCCACCTTTTGGTAATTCCGCGACCAAAGGGTGCTCACACGGCGACTCGTATCAAGAGTAAATCTCCTTAAGATTTCTGTATCTTAATGGAGTTGTACCTTAGGAGGAAGAAGAACTGGGACTAGAGTTGGATGGTGTGCTTGAGGAGTTAGCACTTGATCTGGGTGTGGTTGAGTCGGAGCTTGTTGAACTCGAACCGTTTTGTGGAGTTTGCACTTCTGGCTCTGGATCTGGATCTTGGGTGCTTTTTGAATCTAGGTAGATGTAGTTTGTGGGCACCTGCTCCTCCTTCTTGAGATCCCAATTCCACTTGGCTGATTCGTCAAAAATCACATCCCGTGAGATGACGATCTTTTGAGTCTTCGGGTTTAAGAGCCTGTAGCCCTTCGTATGGCTTGCGTATCCCATAAAGATACACCTTCTTGTGTTCTCCTCCAGTTTGGATCTCAACTGGCCTGGGATGTGAGCAAAACAAACACAACCGAAAACCTTAAGGTGGTTTAAGGAAGGTTTTCTACTTGAGAATGCTTAGAAGGGGGTCATGTCCTCCAATGCTCTTGTTGGACACCGGTTAAGAAGGTACACTGCGGTGTTGACTGCTTCTCCCCAGAACTTGTAGGGAAGGTTCTTCTCATGTAGGAGACTCTTGGCCATCTCCACGATAGTCCTGTTATTCCTTTCTGCCACTCCGTTCTGTTAAGGAGTGTATGGACATGTGGTTTGCTTCTCGATGCCAAGGTTGCTGCAGTAGTCCTCGAACTCTGCTGAATTATATTCTCCACCCCGATCACTTCAAATCTTCTTGATCTCCAGGTCTGTTTGTCTTTCCACCATTGCTTTGAACTTTTGGAAGACAGTGAAAGCTTCTGATTTGAGCCTCAAAAAGTAGACCCAGGCCATCCTGCTAAAGTCATTAATAAAAGTGATAAAATATTTGTTGCCGGCCAGGGACTCCGTCTTCATTGGACCACATAGGTCTGTATGGATCAACTCCAAAGGCTTTGTTGCCCTCCATGCTCCTTCCTTTGGAAACTCGCCTCGATGCTGCTTGCCTTTCATGCAACTGGAGCAGACACCTTCAATTTCTTTAATGGTTGGGAGGCCATACACCATTTCTCTGCTTTGAAGAGTCTTGAGGCTTTGGAAGTTGAGATGTCCGAGCCTCTTGTGCCATAGCCAGGAGGAGTTCACCTCTTCGACCTTTAGAGCTTGAGTGTTCTAGTAGTGAAGTGAGATAGGAAAACTTCTGTTGGGTTGCATTTTGACTTTGGCCACCAAGTTGTTAAAACTCCTATCATCATAGATCTTCACTGCTTGATCACCAAAAACTAGAAAATAACCGTTAAGGAGCATTTGACCTACACTTAACAGATTTTCCTCTAGACCCGGTACAAGCATTACATCCTTGATGTATCTTTTTCCTTTTTTTGTATTTACAACCAAGATACCCTTTTCTTCAGATTTTACAATATTCCCATTTCCCATCTTTACACTACCAAGATAGGATGTGTCTAAGTCTATCAACAGTGACCGGTTCGCGGTCATGTGGTTACTACAACCACTGTCAATATACCAAAGACTACCATCACTATCTTTTCCTCCATGACAAGCAAAGAAAATATTACCTTCGCCGTCCTCTTCTTGGTTTGCAAAGACTTGCCTGCAGTTTTGGTTTTGATTTCCTTGAGTCCTGCACTGCTCTTTGGTATGCCCAAATCTGGAGCAGTTGGTGCACTTGGGCTTCCCCTCGAACCAGCACTTCCCTTGATGAGACTTGCCGCAAGTTCTACATGTGGATTTGCTACCTTGTTGTGAGTTGCCACTTTGTTGTTGTTGTTGAGGCTTTGGAGAAAAATTGGGCTTGCCTCCTTTCTTCTTCTTCTTTTGCTTCTGGCTCTGTTGTTGATTTGAGCTCATGTTGAAGCTTTGGAAGGCTTTCTCCATGGTAGAAGCTTCATTCCTCTTCTTAAGCTTTTGGTCAAACGCCTTGATGGATGCGATTGCCTCTTGTAATGAAAGCTTCTCCATATCTTTTATTTCTTCTATCACACTTACAATGGGGTCATATCTACTAGAGAGAGAAATAAGAATTTTTTGAACTACTCTTTGATTTGTTACATCTTCACCATATGTTTTTAATTGATTTATAACATTGGTGAATCTAGTAAGAAAATCATCGAGTCTTTCTTCTACTCTCATAGAGATTTACTCAAACTCTTTTCTAATAGTTTGAAGCGTAACCGCCCGTACCTTTTCACTTCCATGGTACTCTTCTTGGAGAATGTCCCACGCCGCCTTTGCTGTCTCCTCGTTGGAGATCCTAGGGAAGATGGAGTCGGAGACGGCATTTTGGATCAACCCGAGGGCTTTGGCATCCCTCATGTAGTTAAGCTTTAATGTCTTCTGCTCCGCCGGGGTGAGAGAGTCTTCGTCTTCTGGCACCTCGAAACCTTTCTCCACCAGCTTCCAAAGGTCATGCGCTCTGAATATCATCCTCATCTTGATCCGCCAAAAGTCGTAGTTCTCCCCGGAGAAGATCGGTGTTCGTATCTCGCCGGAGGTAGGTTTTGGGTCGGACTCAATGACTATTGGGTCAGCCACATGAATCCGAGATGAAGTTGGAGAATCGACAGTTGTATTGGTCATTTTGAGGAGGCTATTTGGAAGAGTTTTGGTAGTGGGTGTTGGTGTTTTTGTAGAGGTAGGGTTTCTTAACACTCAGTTGTCATAACGAAGCTCTGATACCATGTTGTAATTCTGAACTTTTTTTCATATATCAAATTCTCCCACTCATGGGTTTATATAGACTTATACATGACCCTTCATATTCCATATATTAACTCTACACATTTACTTGTATAGAATACAATGAGCCATCTCTTAGAATACCACCCCACTTATTATACTTTGACTCTTAGGATTCCCTTCCACCTAGGATATCACACTATGGCTCTTAGGTTGTTTAACATGCTAAACATTGATTAGTTCAACAGTAAATCTCTATGTTTGTGATTGATTTGTGTCGTTCTTTTGTGAATTGCACTTGTTAGTTGTTCTCCTCTCATTGCTCGCCGACTCGTTTGGTTTGTGTGCACGCGTCCGCCGACGCGCAATAGTTTGTTCGAGTTCTGAGTTGTATGCGATTATTTCTTGTTATATCTTGCCGCTTACTTGCATAATGGCTTGAAGATGATGAGGATGTGTGGGATGTGACCCAAACTATCTATTTGGGCTTCCATACTTACATGATTATTATCCGGCTAACGAGATAATTGAAGACCCTTAAACAGATTTTACAGGACTATTAACAAGGTCAGTGACAATAACTACTACAGCTAATTCACCCTGTTTGTGCGCGGGCCTATGTGTGCCATCTTGGTAATCATCGCTTGAAGCCCCAACTTCTCTTTGAATTCTTAAATTTAGTTACTCTAACCATTAGACCAAAACTTTAAAATTATGATGAGGATCAAGGATTATAGTTTTATATTAATTCTAATATGCCCCCGCTGGTCGAACGCCCTTTTTTATGGGTCGAAACCTGGACTCACGTAGCGGTGTTAATTTTTAGAAAATCCATATTTAATTTGTGGCTGGGGGGGGTTGAACTTGAGTTGCTCTGATACCATCTTAAATTTAGTTCCTCTAACCATTACACCTAAACTTCGAAGTTGTGATAAGGATCAAGGATTATAGTTTTATATTAATTCTAACATGAATAAACCTTCAAGCCTCAGAGAATCCAGTATTTTGATCAACCATCGGCTCTGATACCAATTCTTGTAAATTCTTATTGATTAATGCATTATGATGAACAAAAGTAGATAAGCAAACAATCATACCAAATAGTAACCGCCATAGAACACGAGATTTTACGTAGTTGCATAATCGGCCTACATAACAGACAACAGAAGATGCAGAGAGATATTCGCTCGCTCTTATTGGCTTCGATGCAAATCATAAACAGATCGCTCCAACAGAACAGGCCGATTAACGTTTTGAGGTCAGCATTCAATCATCTTGCAAGAGTCACAGTCGGAAAACTTAGGATAGGAACAATGAACTATGCTATATGGCCCCGTTTGGCAAAGGGTTAAGGAAAATGGGTTAAAGAGAAGGATTAATGTACTTAGCCCATTTGATAATCCGAAGGACTAAATTATTAACCCGTTAAATAAGTTTTATTTTAGTCCTTATGATCAGTTTTAGTGTTTGGGAATAACAATGATTTTGACTATTTTCTTTATAATTAGAAGGGTTAACTCTTATTCCATCTAAATAGGAGTATTAGTAAACCCCTCATTTTGAGGGGTTAACTCATTTTAACCCCTCTAGAGGGATTAACTTAACCCTTCTATATTTTTTATGTTTGGTAAATTATGGAAGGTTAACTCACTTTAACCCTTATATAGATTTGTTGTGTTTGACAGGTTAAGAAGGGGTTAAGTCTCATTAACCCCTCACTTAACCCTTTGCCAAACGGTACCTATAGGTCTTATCCAATTCAATTCTTAGCTAATAGCAACGGTCCGGTGCTTTCTTTAATTTCTGTACATTATTTAATTTGTGTGTTAGTCCACTTAGCTCCTAAAGGAGCACAACTGTGAAGCAAAATACCACCAATGAACATATGTATTTCACGAAATAATTAACATGTATATATTGAACGTGTACATATCTGCGTTTGCTGTTCAGAATGGCAGCTGGAATCACATCAAATTAATAGAGAGCCCAAAAGAGTTTTCATTTCATTTCATTTTTTCCCTTTTTTTTTTTTACCTTTCTTTGTTTGAGTTAAAGATCACAAAGAAAGACTGTACACATTAATCAAACCTTAACAGCACAATTAATTCTGAGAAATACTTCCCATAGCCTTTGCCTTCTCCCTCAGCACAAACTTCTGCACTTTACCTGTAGAAGTCCTGGGCAACTCCTCAAACACAACAGTTTTTGGCGCCATATAATGTGGCAAACGATCACGGCAGTACTTCACAATATCTTCACCATTTACAGAAAACCCCTCCTTCAAACTGACAAATGCGCATGGTGTCTCCCCCCAGTATTTGTCTGGCCTCCCAACCACCGCCACCTCAAGCACCGCCGGATGCTCAGATATCACTGTCTCCACCTCTATCGTGCTTATATTCTCCCCGCCGGAGATTATAATATCCTTAGACCGATCTTTCAATTGCACATATCCATCACTATGTCGAACCCCTAGGTCACCGGAATGAAACCATCCACCAGCCAAAGCTTCCTTAGTAGCCTCCTCATCATTATAATACCCGCTCATAACGGTATTTCCTCTAAACATAATCTCTCCGATAGTTTTACCGTCAAACGGCACACTCTTCATCGTAATTGGATCCTTCACATCCATCTCTATCACAGTATGTTGCAGCCCTTGTCGCGCTTTTACCTTCGCCTTCTCCTCTGGAGATAAAGAATCCCATTCAGGCTTCCATGTACATAATGTGGCAGGCCCGTAGGTCTCGGTGAGTCCATATATGTGCGTGACACTAAACCCTAGCTCCTCCATCTTGAACAAAACAGTAGGTGATGGTGCCGAACCTCCGGTCATCACTGCCACTTTATGGGGAAGTGACTTCCGATCATCGGGTTTGGAATTCACTATCGAGTTCAGAACTGTAGGTGCAGCTCCCATGTGCGTGACCTTGTGGAGAGCAATGTTCTCGAAGATTGCCCTTGCCGTGACCTGTCGAATGCAGACGTTGGTCCCGCCCTGAGCGGCAATGCCCCAGGCAAGGCACCAACCGTTGCAGTGGAACATCGGCACCGTCCATAAATATACAGGCATTGTGGTTATACCTTGCATCAAGACTGTCGCAATTGCATTAAGATATGCTCCTCGGTGAGTGTAGATGACACCTTTAGGTTTTGAAGTTGTACCTACAACAACAACAGAGTGCATGAATCATGTTCTTTCATTCAGTTCTAGTACTTATGGACCGTCTCCTCAGTTGAGTTAACTATTATCAAAGTTGTACCTGAGGTATAGTTTATCGATATTGGTTCACATTCATCAGAAGGCCATTTGATGTCGAATGTCGGGTCTGCAGTCGAGATTAGGGTTTCGTAGTCCATGGAAGATGATGGAGTTGGTGATTGAGGGTCTGGGATTGTTACCAAAAGAGGAGACTTTGTGTTGGATCCGGAGAGAAGTTTGAGAGCTCCTTGGGCTAATTCAAGTAGTTGGCCGTCAACAAAGAGGAGTTTTGCTCCGGAGTGCTTTAGGAGCACTGATATCATTGCAGAGTCATGTCGGATATTGAGAGGGCAGAGGATTGCTCCGGCCATTGGAACGGAAAAGTGGAGCTCGTACGCTGCTGGAATGTTTGGAGCAAGGACAGCAACCTGTTTCAAGAAAATCAGACAGTTTTCTATTAGGAAATCGAAGTTGATCAGGACATGACTGTACTAAGAAGAAGAAGCATAAACACCCAAAAAATATCGAATATATTGTGAAACTGAAGCTCTGTCAAGGATATAACGTAAGGATATTTGTATAGGAGTCCATACATATGACAAGTTTGGTTGAACATAATACATTTTCATGGTCGATTGTCATGCTTAGATGCTTACTTGTTTAAATAAGGTAATACTGTAGATCAGAAGGTGGGAAGTGATTATCCCTGTATGTTTTTAGTTTTGAACGAACGCGTTATATACTTATATTTCTTTAACAAGGCTCCAGATAGGTAATTGTCTGATAAAATGGGAGTGAAAAAAAAATGTTCTTCTGTACTGATTGAGGACGTACTAAAGTCTCAGAGATTAACAGCTTTTTAGAGGCTGATACCGGTGGCACTATTTTAGTGCTGCACAGCTAACACTATATTCATTTTGCATGTGTATAATTTTCTCAAGAATAGCGGTGGACTCGCTATCGAGATGCACTCAGCTAGGTTGACGAACAACATAAGAATCATATATCTGGAACCGCTGAAACTTATCAGCAGATGAGAGTACTAACCACTGGGAGATAATTGTTGCGCCCGGCGGAAGCGGACTCAAGATTCACAACAAGTCGGTAAGCAATGCACAGAGAATAACAACTAGTTCAATCCACAATAGAACGAACAAAATCTATGCAAACACAGAGAATTACGTGGTTCGGCAAATTGTCTACGTCCAGGGGGAGAGGATGGGGATATTTCTGTTGCGCGCAGCGGAAATTTCGGCAGCACAACAAGAGAGTCAGATCGCAATAAGAATTCCCGTCTCACCAAGGAGACAAGAATCTGAAGCGGATATCTCAACAAAGTGAGATATCGGCTCTTCCTCTCATCAGTTCTAGGACTGACCTGTCGAGTGATCCTAAAAGCTATTACAAATCACACAAAAGCAGTACAATCAACTTTTACGTGGTTCGGCAAATTGCCTACGTCCACGGGGCAAGGAGGGGGGAGATCTACTAATAGAGGGAGAGATTACAACTAGGGATTACAATCACTCACAAACTAAACCCTCAAACAAACTCTCAAATCCCTCACAATAACTCTCTACAAAAGGTCACAAACTAAACCCTCAAACAAACTCTCAAATCCCTCACAATAACTCTCTACAAAAGGATGCACAAAAGAACTCCTCTGTCACAAACAGCGACTGGGTTTTTCTCAAAAAAAACTTGCTTTGTTTTTCTCCGCAGCCGCCAACCAATCAAGCACCAGCCTCCTTCGCCCGCGCTCTGTTCTTGCACCCCGCAGCCGCAACCTTGCTCAAAAGAAATCTTCACGAAACCCTAGGCACATTTATAGATCTCTAAAAAACGAAATCGGGTGGGCCGCGAACACGAACGAAACGAAAAACCGCATCCTTCCTTTTTTTTTCTTTGTCCGCTGGACTATCACGTGTTCACAATTCTCCACCTCGGTGAAGTTTTCCCAAAACTGAGCCGACACCAAAGCATCCAAATGTCCCATTTGTTGTGACCAGTACGAACTCAATCCACAACAAGTCGAGAACCCGAACGAGAGTCCAAACAATCTCACCCCCATCAAAATCAACTAATCCAATCCGGCTGTATCGTAAAGACTGCCTACGTATCCTCTTGCCCAAGGAATCAAGCCGAACGTAGTTCACTCAAATGGCCGCCAACGGCCTCAACAATCACGAATATGCAATAAGTTTTGACAATGATCAAACCTGTTGCCCGGAACCACATTAGTGAGCATATCCGCCGGATTATCCTTCGTGTGGACTTTCACAATTTCCACATCGCCATCTTCAAGAACATCCCAAACGAAGTGATAACGAACGTCAATGTGCTTTGTCCGCGCATGAAAAACCTGATTCTTCGCCAAATAGATAGCACTCATGCTATCACAATGAATAGTGACAGATCTCTGCGATATACCAAGTTCCTCCAAGAGTCCTCGAAGCCAAATAGCCTCCTTCACAGCCTCCGTAACTACCATATACTCTGCCTCCGTCGTAGACAAAGCCATCGTCGACTGTAAGGTGCATCTCCAACACACCGACGCACGGGTCAAAGTAAACACATACCCCGTAGTAGACCGGCGCTTATCCAAATCCCCGGCATAATCCGAATCAACATAGTCAATGCATAACTACCCACCTGTAGTGTCCCGCTCATAAACTAAACCAACATTGAGCGTACCTCAAATGTACCTCAAAATCTATTTCACAGCGTCCCAATGACCCACTCCTGGATCGTGCATGTATCTCGATATCATGCTTACCGCCTGTGACAAATCTGGCCTCGTACATATCATCACGTACATCAAGCTCCCAACCGCACTCGCATATGGAGTCTTCAACATCAACTCTTTATCTTCAACTGACTTCGGTGAAAGACCAGCTGAAAGCTTCAAATGGGCTCCCAATGGTACACTAACTGGATTCGTATCCATGCTAATATGGAATCGCTGTAGAACCTTCTTCAAATAAGCCACCTGTGTCAAACAAATTCTGCCCTTCTTCTTGTCTCTGCCGATCTCCATCCCTAGAATGCGCTTCGCCTCACCCAAGTCTTTCATCTCAAACTCATTTGATAGCTGAACTTTCAATTCATCTATAGCCGACCTGGAAATAGAGGCAACCAACATGTCATCGACATAGAGCAACAAATAAATATACGCACCTCCTTTCAACTTGCGAAAATATACGCAAGGATCAAACTGGCTCCGAGTGTACGAATGACCAAGCATAAAACCATCGAATCGCCTATACCACTGTCGAGGAGACTGCTTCAAACCGTATAGCGATTTCTTCAGTTTGCAAACCAACTTATCTTTCCCTGCAGCTCGGAATCCCAATGGCTGAGTCATATATATTTCTTCATCAAGATCACCATGAAGAAATGCCGTCTTCACATCCAACTGATCTAACTCTAAACCATACTGTGCCACCAAAGCTAGCAAAATCCGAATCGAAGAATGCTTCACCACCGGAGAGAAAACCTCATTATAGTCAATACCTTCCTCCTGTGCATAGCCCTTCGCAACCAACCTAGCCTTGAACCTCACTGGAGTGCCCTCAATGCCCTCCTTCTTTGTGTATACCCACTTGCAACCAATTGCCTTCCGCCCCTTTGGAAGCTCAACAAGCTCCCATGTATCGTTCTTATGAAGAGATTCCATCTCCTCCTGCATAGCCACCTGCCACGAATCAGCCTCCGAACTCTGTTCGGCCTCTCTGAATGTAGTAGGCACCAACTCATCGATACTCTCCACCGGAAGTGCATACGCAACTGTGTCGCCATACCGTGCTGGCATCAGTATGTTTCTCCTCTGTCTCCGAACCGCAATAGAATCCTGATCCTGAGCCGTCGGTTCCTGATCCTGCACATTTGTACTCGTATCCTCCGTGTCACCGTCGTGCTCGCCTGGCGTCACCTCAGTCGGCACCTGCATGGATACTGTACCATCTGAACAATGTGAAGCTGCATCGATCTCCACCACCTGCGATATCTCCTCCGTCGGGTCGCTCTCCACCTGATGAGAGCTGGGAAACTTCAAGATAGAAGCTTCATCAAACGTGACGTCCCTACTCAGCATAATCTTCTTATCAACTGGATCCCAAAGCTTGTATCCCTTGACACCACGCTTGAATCCTATAAATATGGCCTTCCTAGCTCGAGGTTCCAATTTATCAGTTCTAACATGATAATATGCAGGGCACCCGAATACCTTGAGCTGATCATAGTTATGTGCTGGCTTTCCCGACCACATCTTCATAGGGGTTTTCCCCTCAATCGCAGATGAAGGCAGCCTACTAATGAGGTGGCTCGCATATGTAAGTGCCTCAACCCAAAAGATCTTCTCCAAACCACTCTGCGACAATAAGCATCGGATCTTCTCCAGTAAAGACCGATTTAATCTCTCTGCCACCCCATTCTGCTGCGGTGTATGACTAACTGTGAAGTGTCTCTCTATGCCCTCGTCTCGACATAGCTGCTGAAAGGGGTCAGAAGTATACTCATCACCGTTGTCGGATCGCAACGTCTTGATCTTTCTCCCAGTCTGCAATTCCAATCTCTTCTTCCACTCCACAAATAAATCTAGGACTTCACTCTTCTTCGTCATGGTGTACACCCAACAACGCCTAGAATAGTCATCTACAAAAATGACGAACCAATGTCGACCACCAAGTGATGCAGTCTTGGTGGGACCCCAAACGTCTGTGTGCACGTAGTCCAGGATGCCCTTCGTCTGATGAATGACAGTCACGAACTTCACCTTCGTCTTCTTGCCAAGAACACAATGCTCACAGAACTCAATCTTCCCACTCTTGGCTCCCTTCAATAGCCCCTGCTTGCACAATGCCTGCAGTGACTTTTTACCTGTGTGCCCCAACCTATAGTGCCAAAGTCTGCTCATGTCCGCTTCTGAAATAGCCGAAGCAACCTGGCCAATCTCGGTGCTTCCCTTCAGATAATACAAATTCCGATTGCGGACTCCCCTCATCACCACCAATGATCCCTTAGTAACCTTCGCTACAGCGTTTTCGAAAGTCACCTTGAATCCCTTCGCCTCCAAAGCTCCAACTGAGATAAGATTTTTCTTCAGTTGAGGAACAAATCTCACCTCCTTCAACTCACGGACTACTCCATCGTGCATCCTAATCCGCACGGTACCCATCCCACAAACGCCACAGGATTGATCATTTCCCATGACAACAACGCCCCCGTCGACCTTCTCAAAAGATGCAAATCAGTCTCGCCTAGGGGTCACATGAAAAGTAACGTCGGAATCAAGCATCCAATCTGATGCATCCACATGGTTCACCTCTGGAGTAATCAGTAGAGAAAAACACGAATCATCGGAATCATCGCCTTTCGTAATATTCACCTCATTGGCCTTCGGGCCCTTTTTCTTGCCATTCTCTTTCTC